TGCTTTTCTCTGTAGTATATCATTTGCATGTTAATTTGTTTTTAAAATTAATAGACACTTTTTATCTAAACTTGAATTAGCGGAATGAATTGTTTGTATTGGTTTTATAAGCTACTATAAATTACCATGCTGCATTTGTATGGCATTTTATAATTTACAAAGTAATTGAATATAATATTCTCACATTAATTGCCTATGGAGGCTTAATCAAACTGGGGAGTGACTTTTCTTCAGGATGGAACTCTCATGCCTTTTGTTCAGTGGCATGTGTATAGGTTGGTATGTCCTCCTTTGAAGCCTCCACAGGCATCTTTCTTAGTTCCATCTCTTTTATCTGAAGATGATTCCATTGAGGGGAAAGACCTCATCTTTGACATAGATGCGTTTATTCTGCAGGGACCAGAAGCAAAGAGGCTATTAGATTGAGAAGGTACATTTTGAAAATCTAATCCTGTAGTGTAAGAACAGTAGAGTTATTAACGTTTCCTTTGAGATACTGGAAATCATATCTTTGGACTAGTCAAAATAGCCTCACCTCTTAGGAATTTAATAATTGTTTCTGAAATACTTTTTAACTTGGGCACTGGGATACTGGGGAAGAAATGTCAACAAGCTCATGTGGTGAGGATGGTCAAGATGCTTCTTCTTGGTACTACAGGGGTAGAGCATTTCTGCACCACTTAGTGACATAGACTCTAGGTCAGACTGCGATTCTTGAAAGGTTGAGGGATCCCACTAGATGGCTTTATACTAGGATCTGTGGGTCCTCAAAACATCCTGCCACCAGGACAATCCTGTTTCCGCTCAGAGTTCCTATCATGCCATTCTAAAGCTTTACCTGGATGTCTACTTTAGATGCTATTTCACCTGAAAAGAAAAATAAACTTGATGTCCAAATGTGTGGATTTAAGACTTATAAAGAGATAATGAAATTACAGTCATCATCTTCCAATGATCTTTTTAGGTAGTAAGAGCTCCAAAATGCAACACTTAGAAGTTATTATTTTGAAGTGTTTTCTTTCAATTAAAGAAAATGGAACGAATCTGCATCTGAGGGTACTAAACGTAGTAGCAAGTTTGGGATTGTTAAGGATGAGTTTCTAAGTTATTGAAGTAATTTCTTTCTAATTATCTTGAAGCAGAGGTAGCAACTTTTAGAGTTGCATGAACAATACTAATATTCCCTCAAGTTTTTGTAAATGAGAGTATTTTTATTTCAGAATTTATCACAGTAAAGATGTATGTGGGTCTGTTATCCTAATTACTGTTTCAAAGTAAGATTGTACTTCAAAAGTACAAATTTGTGTGCCTGGCTGTGCATGTGTTAATGGGAAAATGGCATTTTTCCCATCTGAAAAGGAGTGACACAGATTTACCATCCATAAAAAAAATATCATGTAGTGAAACTAATTGCCTCAGTCAGAAATCTAAATGGCTTTGTCGGTTTAGAGAAGGATGTTAGCACTTTCTGGCAGCCATAATTGTGATAACAGCCTAACCAAGAACGGTTAATATGGCTCTTTAATTGCCTAAAGTAATGATAGATACTTAAGTGATATGTCATCTCATTTATCATGCTCCATTGTGGTTTATTTGCCTCACAAAACTTTCAACTTGCTTTGAACACTTTTCTGTCAGGCATCAGCTACTGGCTGATTGTTTTCCACCATGCTGTTCTGATTACCACTTTTTAAAATCACTCCTCCTGCTGTTTCTTTTTCTTCACGCTGTGCCTTAGCTGCCTGGAGGGCATTGTATCGAGCTGTTGACATAGAGTAAATCAGTGACTCATAGAGCTCAGCCTTCTTCACCTTTGCATCTACTCTTCAAACTTCAGTATTTCTGTGATTTAACCCTTGGGATGGCTCTTGATTATCCTAGATTTGAGTTTTCGAAACAGCTTGGTGATTTGTTTGGGGAAAACGTCCTTTTAAGGAATTCCTTGTTTAAAAATTCAACGTAAGTTGTATTTTGTAAACCTTAGTCATAATGTATAACTATTTATTAGGAGTGTGTTTTAGAAAACCGAATAAAATTAACTCTCACAGTTGATTACTAATAACATTCACTATCTGTAAATTAGAATAGTCTAGAAAATACCCACAAATGAATGAGGATACTTGGATTTCTCAATGATCTACTCAGAAGCGACTTAAAGCAATTCTGAGATATTTCTTTCATGATTGGTGTGGAAGAAGTCTTCATGGCCAGGGTCCTCAATCACTACGGAGTTTCTGCTCCCTGTTCCATCACTTTTGGGCTCTTGTCCAATCTCCTTCTATGCTCTGCATTCCCATAAGGGAAGCTGCCACTGCCATGCCCACTGAACCTGTCCTTTGATCACTTTCCTCATTCATCCACATAGCTCTATTCAGAAGACTACGAGACTCCAGCCATTAGACTGTTTCCTTACAGTATTCTAGGTATCCGTTGGGGAATCTTTGTTACATCCCACTGAGTGAGAAGATTTGAGGTAGGCAGTCCTGGAATCTTGTGTAAGGCTTACACTGTGTAATCCATGTTTTAGGGAGACTTAATCAAATTTGTCAAGTTATATGCATCGCTTTGGAGGGAAGCCTGTCTACCACCCTCTTCCATCCCTCCTTTTCATGTTCCCCACTATGTATACACCCACACACACACACACACACACACACTCTCACTCACTCATGCACACCACAGACACTTGAAATTTGCATCATACATTGTAGTAGTCTGAGTCTCCTGGTACTACATAATTTTTAATAGTTATGTAAAAGCCAACTTTTCAATTTTACTGTCACTTATTGATTGTTTTCACCACCACTAACATAAAATCCAGAACCTAATGTGTATTTGTTTATAGTAACATAAATATATGCATACATTATGCTGAAATCTTTTGTTCAGTGCAATGGCAGGAATGCCACATTTTAAAAAAGGTTTTATTTATTTATTCAAGGGAGAGAGAGCATGAGTGAGAACTTGGGAGAGAGCATGAACAGTGGAGAAGGGCAGAGGGTGAAGCAGACTCACCACTAAGCAGGGAGCTGAAGGCAGGACTTGATCCCAGGACCCCAGGACCATGACCTGAGACGAAGGCAGACACCTAACTGAGCCACCCAGACACCCCAGGAATGCCACATTTTAAAGATAGACAGGAATAGACTGTCATGTGTAGAACAATTGTAGGAATCAAACAATCTCAGCAATGATGCTAAACTATTCTTTTGTCGAAAGTATTTCTGATTTTAGACAATCCTACCTTTGTGTTTTCAACAACAACAACAACAACATATAAAAGATCTAATGTGTTCTGGATTTCTTTAAAAGATGCATGTTCACATTTCTGAGTTTGCAGTAGTTCGAAATTTTAGGAAGGTCAGAGGCTTAAAGCATCCAGAGAGAGAGAGGCAGAGTATAAGTGGGAGTGAGCACATATTGTAATCTCATCCATTACATGGCTTTGGGAAGATCTGCATTCACATGTAGGTGGAGAGCCCTGCCTCCATCTACCTTAGGTTCCCCAAGTTCAGCGCTAATTTTTGGGTTGTCTGTTACCCTCAAGATCCTTAGCTGACCTGGTTTGTATACAAGTATCAGTTAAAAGGCTGGGTGTCTGCTGGTCCTGGGTCTACATCTCTAAGCAGAGATTCACGCTGTTGCTTGCAGTCAGGAGTGGTTGGGAAGTTTAGAGCATCCTCTCAGTTGAAGGGTGCCCTGATACCATTGTGGATCAGATTTGGGTTTAAATTCTCTCTTTTCCACCTATCGGCTGTGTGACTGTTGCTTTATTTCTATGAGCCTCAGTTTCTTCATTTGTAAAATGCAGAGCTGTCATAAGGAATAAATGGACTAACATGTCCAAACGTGCCCAGTACTTGGAAAGTACCACCACTAGCATACAGGATTGCTGTGAGTAATATCCACAGTAAGTGGTTTGATTAGATAAAACCTGGCAAACTACATTTTCAGACAAAGCTCTTAAAAATCATCTGTTCTATTCCCAGTCAGTTAGAGAATAAGTACCTAGAGAAATTCCAAGCCTGGAGAGGGTCTGAGAGAGAGAGAATAAGAGAAGGAGAGAGGGAGGGGGGCAGAGAGAAGGAGAGTGTTCTTTGGGAGTTGTATTAGTTCTGTGCTTTTTTAGATGGATACCCAGTGGCATACAGCTGGTATAATGAAATTGTACGTTATTAATTTATTTTTAAAGATTCCTTAACTTGATGTACACTTTTTCTTTCATCTCTTCTTATATGAAACCCAATTAGAGAAGAAGGTGATGTGTAATCAATACTTTTATTCACAGGTGATTTTCCTTGAGAAGTATTTATAGTCAATGCTGCTTTGAAATTTTTGTTAGCTTAAAGAACAGAAAAGTGCCATTCAAACCGAATTAGATCGTCCAATGGTTCCATGAACTATCGACCGAGTGAGGAGTTCTGATGCACTTTAATTGAGCCTAAGGCTTCCTATATTCTTTTAAAATGCCCTTAGGTCGGATTGTACAGAGTAAAAGATAGGTGTTTATTTTCAAAATTGACTTAAAGTGTTATTGAAACAATGAGAACTCCAAAGACTCAGGGAATTCTAAAACTAAAAATATCTGCCTCTTTTTTTCTTGTCATTGTGCTCTTTGAATAGGTAGCTCATAGTAATAGTCTGTGCTAGAAGGCCCTCTGTTGAAGTAACCCAGTCATTATGATAACATAGTTCACCTTTTACCTTTTTTTCTCTCCAATTTAACTCTAGCGCATACTAAAGCCCCTGAGTCATTTTGGAGTTAATATAAAACAGACCATGATAGCAAGATTTCAGATAAATAGCATAGAACTAAAATAGCAAGATATAATATGATTTTTCAAAACCACAATGTAAAATTTGTCAGTAGTTAGGTCTATGATCTTCAAAAACATTTGGTAAAGACTTTCAGAACTAGTTTAAGTTTCAGTAGTGAAAATCGTCACTTAAAAAGAAAATTTTATAATTTTTTTCCTCTTTTCTTTTCTTTTCAATTTCAGGGTCAACCTGGTCCTCAGGTAAGTGAACTCTTTCCTAATAAATTAATTTCAGTTTAGGATTTCCTCCATGTGGAGATTTTTCTGTAATTCTTTTCAATGGCTATAAAAAAAGCTATGAACCAGTAATCATGACACCACACAGTAGACCAAATATTTCCCAGGAGTAAAGCTCTGGGGCCTCTCCAGGGTTTGTGAGCCACATCAGCTGTTGGGCCAGATGGCAAATTTAACACCGTACTATCATACAAAGCAAAACTCTAAACTGATCTAAAACAGTGCCACAGGACTTTAATGTAAGAATAAATGACTTAGTAGATGTCGGGTATGAACTGGTTTGCGTTAGGTATTGATTAATCACGTACTAATAATGTTGCCGTAAATCCACACAGACTATTTAGACAGTGATCATACCGGTGACTTTTGATTCACTACAGGCAGATATTGAATTTGATCTACACTTTCAATATAAACCAACTGCTGAAGACTTGATTTATAATTAAATGTGAATGCAGTCAACAGAAAAATCTTTAGAGCTATAAATCCTATTGAAGAAAATGAAATTTTAGGAAGGGGAGGAATGTGTAGGAAGATGAAAGTATAAAAGAAAGGAATGAAATGAAGAGTCAGAAATGAAGAGTCAGTAAAAAACAACACACTCAATATTAATACTGATTGTGGTCTGTAGGAAGCTATGGAGAAGGGAAAGCCATTATTAATGTTTTTACCTTTAACACCATAGTAGCCATAAATAACATAAATATTTATTGAATTCCTCTTATGTCTCTTTCCCCTTGATATACCAAATGCTATTTCTGTCCTAGACTATTTAGTAAATAAATAATTTTCATGATATCTTTGTAGGTCAATATCCAAATTGCTGTGGGCTAATTCTCATACCAGACCATGAGGATATTATTTATAGTTTTTATGAGCTCAGTGTCTAAGTCTATCTAACAAAATAAACAAAGAAACCCACGTACTTCAGTAGAGCAGTCCTTTCCATACCACATTCATGAGAGAAAGTTTGGCGTGTAATTAACTTATACTCGTATCAGAGAATACTCTTATTATTTGTGATTTCCACACTTGCTTTCTAAGTTGGCTCAATTATTGGAGGGAAAAAAACCCAGAAAAGAAAGTTGTAGCTTATTTACCAAATTTGAAACTGCTACAATGTAATGGGATGACATCAAATAAAAGGTGCTTTGCATGCTTTATTTTATTTAATGCTTACAACAGTCCTGCTGTTGTATACATGTGAGCGTGCGCACACACACACACACACACAGAAATTGGAAGAGATCCATGACTCGCATGGGGTAACACCATAAAACTGGGGGCAGAAGTCAAGAATGTCTGTAAAAACCTCTACACTCAGCTCACAAGAGAAGACGAAAAGGTAAGATAGCAGAGGATAAAAGAAGTTGGAGTGCTGGTTTAGAGATTATTATAATCTGTAAAATATTTTAAGTATTAATAGGACCTCTGTCTTTGCTAGGATCACCTCTGCCTACCCTAAAGCCGTCTTTTAGATAAGGATTTGGGTATAAGTAATGTATTTGGGAGACAATCCCAGGAAGCATTGTGATGTCATGGGGGAAATGACAGGAGAGACAAGGCCAGAAAACAGATGTATTCTTGAGGAAGCTGTGAGAGATGGTAGAGCTTGTCTCAGAATTGCTCACTGAAAGGCTGGGGAGATTGATGTATTTATCTGCTAATTTCCCTTTCTCTATTGTTGAGAATGTTGCCTGGGTGTTAACTCTCTGGCACTTCTGGTCTGGCCCAGGAGGTCCAGCGCTCTCCAGCTGCTAGAGGAATGCAGGCAGCTGTAGGACGTGTGCGACCTGCATCCTTACACTGACTTGCAGGGAGGCAGCAGTGAGGCTTGGCACCTACATCTGGAACAGCGTCCAAGTACAAGAATCCTACAGACAAAACAGAGAGGGAAAAATTCAGATAGAGATATATAGACTTGGAAAATTGGACAAAAAGACAGCATTGAAAGCATATTAGTTAATGAGATGTTAAAGAAAATAGCTAAGAAGAACATGTTCATAATAAATCTTGAGTTTCTGCCACAGTTAATGAGCAGAAGAAAGATGATAAACCAGCGATAAACCAGCATAGGGAGCCAAGAATGGGCAGGACATTATGAATCACTGTAACCAAGATTTGAAAGTAGATCATGACACTTAAAAAATTAAAGTCTATCTAACTGCCTGTGCTTGAAAACTTTGGAACCTTTCAAGGAAGATAGAATTGGCATTTTAAAATAGTTACCTGCTCTGGTTTTCCTTCATCTTGGCTATCTGTTTGCCTTTAGTGGATACTTGAATCACATGATCATTATTTTCAAAATGTCTCCCTCTTGTCACAGCAAAAGGATAAGCAGTGGATTCAGGAAGAATTAGCATGAGGGAAACGCAAAGCCCGGAGATAACTCACATCATCTTTCTATGGCACAAAAAATAGACAAAGATTTTTGTTGGTATGTCCCCAAGGAAAAGTCTTGACCTACCTCTTAACTCTACGTCATCATCATAACATTTTTCAAAAGAAACTTCCAAGTTTAGATTTTAAGTTAACTAATTCTTTTTTTTTTTTAAGATTTTATTTATTTATTTGACAGAGAGAGAGGTCACAAGTAGGCAGAGAGGCAGTTAGAGAGAGAGGAGGAAGCAGGCTCCCTGCTGAGCAGAGAGCCCGATGCATGCGGGGCTCTATCCCAGGACCCTGGGACCATGACCTGAGCTGAAGGCAGAGGCTTTAACCCACTGAACCACCCAGGCGCCCTAAATTAAGTAATTCTTAATGGAAGTTTCCATTTAGTGCTTAATGATTATTAACCATGTACTGATATTTTTATAAATTATAGATGTATTTTGATATACAGTCTCCATTTTTATTTTCCCTACCACCTATCATAATGTATTACTTTCCCAACCTCTAATCTACTCTTGGGAAATTTCTTCTGCAAAAAGTAGAAACTAAATAGGCTTTTACCTCCAAGGACAAATTTTGTCTCTAAAAATATGAACACATAGAAATGATGTAGTAAATGTGATTATCAATATGTATAGCACAGTTATAGTATTTTATACAATTATATCTTACATTACCATGTTACCACAAATCCACTTTTTCCTGAGTAGATTTATATAAACTACACATTAAATCTGTTTAATATATATTTATAATGTAGATACAATGAATAAGCAAGCAATGTAGATTTAAAATCTAAATTAGAAATTTTTTATGGGTTGTTAAATACTTGAAAGATTTCTTTTATTTGATCAAATTTCTCTTAAAATATTCGTGTTCTGTTTTTTGGTCTACTAAAAATGATTTTATTCACATATAGCATATATAGTGCGTATAGGAACTTATAATTTGGGGTATGTTTTCCCTTTTTTTCTTTCAATTCTTTGGTGACTTAAAATGATACCCAGTTTTTTTCTTGAAAATCTACTTCTTTAATTTCCCAAATTTTATAAGATTTCTGAGCTTAAATTCTTCAGAACTTATTTTTTGTTATTTATATATGTAAGTTTCAATGCAACCAAAGTGCCACATTCCTTCCCTGCTAATTCTGCTCCTCCCTTATCGCTGTGTCTTCTTAGCATGTATTGTTAATTGTGGGGAAAGGGAAGAGCATGAGCTTTGTAAAACTTTTTCCTTACTCTCCCTCCCATCTCCCCTTGCAACTAGTTAAGGGAGAAAAAGGAAGAAGAAAGTTTGCTACCTAAACAAGACTTCTCCAAACAAGTTCCCTTAACCAGTCCTCAAACCCAAGTTTCTCTCCTGCTCCCTGAGTCATAACCATGTCACCGGGGGATGACACCTTAGTTGGACTACCTACTGTACTAAAAATCCTTACTTCCTAATTTACAGTGGATTTTCCATTAAGATAGCTTGCCAAAACAGTTCTAGGGAACAATAAGAACTTTTTCTTTCTTTCTTTCTTTTTTTTTTTTTTTTGTGCATTAAGAGTAGGCTTTGTGGGTTGATTTGGGAACATAAACCATCTTTTATTAGGATTCCTGTGGGAAGATACAATCAGATTTCCAAACAACCAACTTCCAAAAAAAGGGTTGTCAATGTTTGAGCTGAGGGATTGCACCTCCTTTAAGTTTACTAAAGAACTTGGACAGAATTATAATCAGCAACCTATTTTTCATGTGTAAATGTTTATGTCAGTAAAGTGTTCTTGCTTAGGTTGAACATTCCCATGTCATCTTATTCATGGTATTCAGTGCAAGTCTCTCCCTGAGAGAGGGAAAGGCAAGATTCTGCTTCTTTGGTATCACACCTTCTTTAGTTAGGAGTTCCAGATTAATAAGGTTTTATTTTGTAGACTGATGGTAGAAAGGGAAAATGTCTATTATTCAGGGAGTTCTTCTGATTATCTTCTGAAAGCTGAAGACAGCTTAGATGGATTTAACTTAGATTGTTAAGAAATTGTGAGGCCTGTAACGCTAAATGGCAGAGATAGTGTGAAACTGAATACGAAAATAGGCCTTAGGGAAGAGAGGTGAGTCTTTGCATTTACCTAAATGGGTAAGCAAATGGTTCTTGACAAGGGAAATGAGATGGTGAAAGCATATTAGGAAGAAGGGGGGGGGAAAGGCAATTCTAGCAGCTGTGGTTAAGATGGGAAAAGAGGTAGAGAAACGAATGGAGAGGTTGCTGCCGTGAATCCATTGTATCAAAGGAAATCAAATCCTTGGAGAGGAAAAAGCATGGGATAGGTTAAATAATGTGACAGAGACTGGGGAAAAGTGGTTGGGTAAGAAGAGAAAAAATAAGTGATGAGAGAGCAAGTCAGGGAAGAAAGGAGGAAAGGAAATGAGAAAAAAGACAGACGCGTTTTTGTATTTCAAACTAGAGGTCCTGAGAATTTTTTGGGAGGTGGGGCAAAATTTATCTATTGAAATGAAAGTCACCCTACTATTTATTCATTAATTCATATGAACAGAATTTAAGTCAATACCTTAAGGATTTATTTAGCTCCATGT